GTTTCACCATGTTGACCAGGATGGTCTCGATCTCTTGACCTCGTGATCCACCCACCTCGGCCTCCCAAAGTGCTGGGATTACAGGCTTGAGCCACCGCGCCCGGCCCTGAATGGGCTTTTATGTTTTTTTCTTGTTATCTTCATTCTCTTCATCAAGCAGACTCTGCTTGCTTTACAGCGGGCCTCAGCCCCTGCACTGCCCCCACAGGACAGGCCCACTTCCTACCACCAGCCTTACACCTGGAGGTGGTAAGGCTGAGGCCGGGGGAGCAATGGTGCTTTTCCCCGCGTGCAGAGGACACAGTGGCAGAGGGCAGGGGAGGGTGCCGGCCTGTGTAGGGGTAGGAGAGAGGGAGGTGCAGGACACAGCACCAAGGGGAGGCTCGTTTCAATGAACTGCATCAACGCTTCCCTGGACTCTGCCCACCTCCTGACCCATCCTCCACCCCCTACTCCCATGATGAACGCTGCACACACTCATCACACACACATCACACAGGCACACATCACACACGTAAGCACAGACTCACGCATGCAGACACACCACAAACATGTCACATGCACACTCGTCACACATCACATGTGCACACGTCACGTACACACTCATTACACCTACATCACACATCAGCTGCACATCACGCACACCACAGGTAAACTCATCACACACACCACAGGTAAACTCATCACATGCACACGTGTCACATGTACACACGAGATGAACTGGCAGTGGTTTCTGCACAACTTGGAGGTGACTATTCTCCAGGCCAGCCCCAGAGCCCCTGAGAAGAGGCCAGAGGTGATGACTGCACACCCTTCATGGAGCCTTCCTGGGCTAGGACCACCACGGGCACCCACATGTGGGCTCATCAGGTGAGGACATGCCACCTGGAAAGGAGTGACAGCTGCCCTGGTGTGGGGACCTCTTTAGGGGGCGGCTCTGACAAGCAGGCCACGACGGGCTCCCTGTGTTCATGGAGGAAGAAGGAGCTTCAGCCCTGCACCGCGAGGGGTGAGGCTGACCTCACCTGGTCCTGCTGCTGGTGATGGTACAATCTCCTTTCAAGCCTCAGCTTCAGAACCCCTGGGTCAAGGCTGTGGCTGTGGCGTCCTTACACCCCAGCCAAAGCTCCAGAGAGATCTGGGAAGCAGGAAAGGCAAGAAGCAGCTCCCAGTTCAAATGCAGATGAGACGGCCTGGGAAGCATGCTCGTGAGGTCCGGGGCGTGGGGCAGGAGAGCTGGTTCCATTGGCCTCATCACTGGGAGCAAGTGACCCCTGGGCAGGTTCAACTCCCTGAGTCTGCGTCGCCTGTGAAACTGGTGGGGGAAAAAGCTCTTAAGCTATTTAAAACCAGTAATTCAAGTCAGCAAAAATGGATCTGAATTTGAAGCAATTTTTAATCTTCATTTATCTCTTTTGTGTGTGTGTGTGTGTGTGTGTGTGTGTGTGTGTGTGTCTACAGAAATGGTAATGTGCTTGATATGGGATATTCTCTGAAGCCCCTGATAAGGGTGTTACATAATACGTACCATACATCCCATGTCACTTTTCTAAAATATGGAAAACCCAAATTGAAAAATACATCTGGTGCCAAGAGTTTCAGATAAGGGATTGTGGATCTGTAGTACTTAATAATAAACTTATAATAATTAAATAAGATAAAGAATGTTAAGCTCCTACCACAGTGCCTGGCATACAGTAAATGCTCAATAAATGCTAGTTGTCCTTATTGTCATCATCATCATCCTAGGCCTCAAACTGGGTAAAACCTGGTAGTGTTCCTTGGAGAAGATTAGATGAATGAGGCACACGTCTTCTGCTACATGTTACCGAAGTACAGTAAGACACAAGAGAAACAAAATGTAAAGAACACATTGAGAAACATAGATGAGCCACTTTATATATTATCCAAAATTTTCATGCAAATCGTTAGGCAAAACACCAGGACCCCAAAGGCCAAGAAACACAAAAGGAAACATGTTCAGCCTCAATAGTTCCTGGAGAAATGTCAACCCAATCAATAATACGCAGCATTTTATGGGCAATATGTTAACAAAAAACGTCAATGACCAGAACAAACATTGCTGCCAGTAACTGGGTGACATGAGTGTGCTCCTGTCTTAGATGGAAAGGAAATTGAATAACCTTCTTGGAAAGCAAATTGGCAATATATTTTGAAAGCCATAAAATGCTCAGAAACGTGGACCCTGAAGTTCAACTTCTGGATATTTACTCTGAGATAATTTGCTAAAGAAGAAAAGCCTCTCCGTGTGCACACAGAGTCATTGCAACACTCTTTATCTGGGCCTTTGCAAGCACTGGTCCAACAACATAAATCTCTTATGCTGCCTAATCTTCACAGCAGCCCCCACAGTAAAAACTGTTCTTACCATCACCATTTCACCTCTGGGGCAACGGAAGCAAAGCCAAGCTAAGCAAGGTTCTTCTGCTCCTTGGTAACTTGAAGAGTGGAGCCGAAGCTTGGGAGTAGGTTCTGGTGCTCGGCATCTTTATCATGCTGCTGCCCAGGAGCTGGATGGCAAAAGATGCCAACAGGCTAGGTGCCATGGCTCATGCCCGAAGTCTCAGCACTTTGGGAGGATGAAGCAGGCAGATTACTTGAGGCCAGGAGTTTGAGACCAGCCTGGGCAGCATGGCAAGATCCTGTCTCCATAAAAAATACAAAAACTTTGGGAGGCCGAGGCGGGTGGATCACGAGGTCAAGAGATCGAGACCATCCTCGTCAAAAAGGTGAAACCCCGTCTCTACTAAAAATACAAAAAATTAGCTGGGCATGGTGGCACGTACCTGTAATCCCAGTGACTCAGGAGGCTGAGGCAGGAGAATTGCCTGAACCCAGGAGGCGGAGGTTGCGGTGAGCCGAGATCGCGCCATTGTTCTCCAGCCTGGGTAACATGAGTGAAACTCCGTCTCA